AAAAAAAAACCCCAGCCTTTCTCCACCCAAATGAAAGAAGTAAACTCACAAAATCCCTTAAATATACAAGAATGCCTCCAATGTTAAGAATTCCTCTGCTATAATAACAGTGAAACTTCAATAGTGTGATAAATAAGACTGATTTCATAATTTCCTCCACTTCATGACTGAAAACAGCACATCCCAAATGCAAAACAACACAAGGGGGGAAAAAAGTGCAGAGGAAAAAAATGTGGAAATGAGTATGGTAGTTTTTCATTTTCACAGGTCCACCTTAATAAATAAAAGCTTCCACACAAAAGTACAGATTCAAGGTTTGAATGAGTGCATACATGCATACATGTATGTTGAGTGAGCAGTGGGTGTGCTATATGTTGGAATGTGTGACGCAGCTATATAATCGAGTGAGGCCAATGTGATTCGAAAGGTTGTTGTTTGTGTAGGCAGGACAGGCAGGGAGGTGAGGGAGAACACTGTGAAGCTGGCAGGTAAATCGTACGCTGCAGCTTAGAAGCGGATAAAGGTGGCGTCGATCTGGCGTACGCTGGGCAGCGCCAGCATGATCTTTCGCCGGTACTGTGGATCCTTCTGTAGAGGGTTTCTTTCAAGGTAGACCGTCTCCAGAGAAGTGGCGTTCTTCAACTCATCAAGATCAGACCAGTTATCTATCTGATTATCGTTCATCTGAGGAGATATTACAAAACAACACGAGCAGTGAGGGTGCACCATCAGTTTAACTCATAACAATATAAGAACTACACTTTGAAACCTTTTGTACTGACCCACTGTTTAAAGAGCAACACACTGAACGTAGCAACAAAAATTGACTTTTAAGAAAGTTTCATTTTAAATGTGTTGCTCAACAAAAAAATTATGCGATACAAATACACGGGTACTTCAACTAATTATGTCTTACTTTGAATTTTCTGTCATTTATTTTGTCATTTTTGCTCTCTGTCCAACCAGCACTCTGTATGTCCGCCTTCATTACATCCACCCACCCTGCCTCCACTCTCTTCTTCACCTCTCTGTGCACTGTTGTTTTGAATAACTGACCCAGGGGAATTAAACCCATCCACCTTCACTGCCTCTACTCCTTGCATCTTCACTTTTCTACCCATCTCCCAGGTGTCTCATTCCTCTTTTCTCCAGCGCATACCTCCACCTCAGCAGGATCTCTTCTATCGGTTCCCTACCCACAATGTCATCATTTTTATTAACAAGCAAAGGTGTAATTAATTATTTGATGATGGTTGCCTTTTAATGCACGCCAACGTTAAATTTTGTTAATGTTCTAAGAAACTTTTCTTCTTCTGTCAAACTGTCAGCAGTGAAAAATGGGCTGTCTGTACTGAGGCTGTACATTAAACAACGTGTCAAACAAACTATTTGTACCCAGAACTCCTGCAGCTCCGTCAGGTGGCTGATGTTTTCTATTTTCTTTACTCGATTGGCTGCAATGTCGAGGGTGGTGAGTTTTTTCTGTTCGGAAAAACAAACATTGCTGTTACATGTTTGCACAATTCAACAGTATGGAACCCTATTTTCTTTTATGTGTTTTGGAAATGTGTGCCTTAAAGTTTATAACTCACATTGTTTTCTAACCCCTCAATGACCTCAACGCCATTGTGGCTCAGATAGAGCTCCCTCAGGTTGATGAGGTTCTGAAGCCCCTCAATTTTCGTTATCCGGTTGCTCTGCAAGTAAATGCAAGTAAATGCAAACCCGATGATTATCTGTTGTCTGGAGCGTGTGCAACTGTAATCAAGTGATGAATATGCGTGATGATACCTGGATGCTTAAAACAGTGAGGTTGTGTAAAGCGTCCAGATTCTGAAGCCGTGTTATTTTATTAGTGCCAAGAAACAAACTTTGCAAAGATGTAAGTGAATCCAGGTTTTCAATGACCTGTGAACACAACAAGATGAAGGCAAAACTTCACATCACAACTTACATTTTCCAACAAATCTTCATTTATATTTTGCAAACAAAACCCATTATTTACATAAGGAGTTCAAAACAACTTCTCAGTGCAGCACAGTCCCTTCGTATCTCACCCTAATGCGATTGGAGCCGAGCTCCAGCATCTCCAGACCTGTGAGGTGCTCCAGATTCGCAATGCTGCTAATTTTGTTGTGAAGCAGAAAAAGTTTCTTCAGCCGAGTCAACTGCTCCAAACCCTCCACCTTCCTCAAAACGTTAAATGACACGTCAAGCTGCCTGTGGGTTGGCAAAACAACAGTCCCTCTCAGAATAAATACACCTTGATATGTGAGACCTTTGTTCAGGCTTAGGTAAGAATCACAGTTTTGTCACACTTACTCCAACTCTGTGAGGTTGTGCAGGTTCTCCAGTTTGCGGATCTGATTGTCATAGAAATCTAGTTCTCGCAGGGCACTCAAACTGTCAAGGTTTTCTATCTTTTTGATGAGGTTCTGCCGTAAGGAGAGCGTCTGCGTGAAGAGAGGAGAGGCAAAAATAACAGAGGATACCGTCAAGAGCAGAATTAAAGCGCACGTGACAGGTCCTTATTTTAGAGATGAATATTTAAAAAAAAATAATGCCGATGAATCCAAAATGCTAATAAAACGCCTCAGACGCCAATGACACTGCTGCCAACAGCATCACCTAAATAATTCTTACTTTAGCCTTCTGTAGCACCTCCAGTCCTTCAATCTTTCCAATACGACAGTGAACAAGATCGACATCCTAGAAAGAAATATAGACACCATAAGAGATTAAGCAGTCTGTGGTTACTAGCCATTATGGCACATGGCACAGCACCTGTATACAGATTTACACACAGAAGTTTGTAAATCCCAAAAAACACTGTTAATATGAACTCTAACACTATAATCTTCACTTTCTTAAACTCCAAACAAAACAAGTCATCAGAGATGAAAGGCAATTTCTTCAAAACTTAAACTGACCTCTTCCTCAGGGTCCAAAGTTATGGTGTCCATGTCAACAGGAGACTCTTCTTTATCTTTAATATGAGCAAGAATAAATGAAATCAAATTAAAGCTCCACTGCAATCACAAACATATTGTCACATAAAGATTTTATCTAAGAAAGTATTTGTGAGAAAATAACACAAGCAGCATGCCTAGTTTGTAAAATAAAGCACATTCTCTGTGGCTGGGTAGGAGGTGATGATGACCTACTTGTAGCAGTGGGCTGATTAGGGTCCACATCGCCATTGATGCTCTTCCTCCTGGTTTCATCGTCACCAGACTCCTCAGACTCTCCCCTCCGGTCCACTACAGTACGCAGACAGAAGAGAGCCTCAAAACCTCAACAAAGATTCACAGCTTCCGATTGGTTACACACACATTTGGATGATGCCAAGCCCAGGTTTATCTGGAGCAGCCACCCTCTGTCTCCACTATCACAAGATCGTGATAGTGCACATTTCTGTGCTCTGCAACGCGCTCAAATTGTGGAAAAATGTGTGGAAAAATGTGAAAGCACTACAACGGATTTTACCTATGAGTATTAAATGTTGCGGGATGTGTCCCAGCTTTATTTTCATTAAATAAAATGAATTAAATTCAGAAATTAAAATCAGTTTGAACGCGCGTTACCTACTGAACACACAGGCGACACATTGCTAAGCACGTTAGCCAGCTAGGTTGCTGACTATATCACAGCTAGCAGCTTTTACGAGCTGAATCTGAAACATGTTACATGGACGGGAAAAAAAATAAATGTCTATGACTATGGGGTACTCAACATACCCTGAAACGCCGCTGTAGATGGCCTTTATAAAGACAGCATGAACTGACGTTAAATTAATATCGTCAGCTAGCGTCTTGTTATTAGCCTGTTAGCTAGCAAAGCAAGGATGAAGGTTTGGTTAGTCACAAGAGAAAAACATCAAGGAGCGTGCTCAGATGAAAAAAGACTCTTTTATCCAAATGGCCGCCAGGCTACCAAGCTATAACGATCACAACACGGCTGCACCCTTGAAAATTTGGCTACTCACCTTCCATTTCTTGAAGCTCTCCAACAGACAGGGAAGCCATGTTTCCTGTAAACACTCCTGACAACCGCGCAGCCAATCCAGCGGAGGCATACGCTGACACCAGCCACAAGGGGGCGCTGAAGGCCGCTGGAAACGAGCATCAACAAATTATACGGTAAGGTTTATATAACTCAGGACAGAAATGTAACACTAGTTGACAAGAAAGTACCGTTGCTGAACTTGCATTATTCAGTATATAATTTCAAATGGAAGCTGTTTTTATTTCCTCTCTTATTCTGTAACTTATTGGATTTCACACGGTACACCTGAATATAAATCTGCTAGACTGCACAGTGCATTTTTTTTTTTACTTTTAAAAAAATCTGTTCAGCAGATGTTATACATGCAGTTAGAGCTGGACTGGGACAAAAAAATTTGGGCCTGGCATCAGGTTGGTACAGTTGTTGTAGGGTTAGTTCTTAGTTGCCCTGCAGCATGGGACAATTAAAAGCTACACATTTAAAAGCTATTAGCAATGACTCATGATCAAAGCAGCCATTCATTTCATCTGAATCCTTGAATCCTACATCCTTCATCTATTTTCTTACCACATTAATCTCATCTTCCTCTGTGGCTTCCTCCTTCTCCACAGCTGGTGGTTGCAGCAGCAGCACAGCTGTGACTGTGAGGTCTGGTAGTTGTTACTACTGTTCTGCAGCAGCACCGACACCTAACATGTTGGTTAATTTGAGCACTGTAACCCCTTTCAGACTGATAGATGTTATTAGCTTTGTTAGTCAGCTGTTTCTTTAGATTGCAACCAATAACTGTATTAGAGATGTTTTCCTTGAGTGTGACACAGTGTGTTGCTTTTTGAAATCTTATCCTACTTCACTTTGTCTGACAGGGTCTGTCTAAGTATATTCTCAATTCAGCAGGTCTGGCATCAATCAGGCCTCGGTATGTAGTGAAATTGAGCTCACTTTTCAAAACAAATGTGTTAATTCAGTTACAGTTAATTCCTGATTTAATAAGGGTGCAGTTAGTTTCTCACACAGGGCTGGGTAGGCTTGGATAGCATTTTTCCCTTAATAAATGGGATCATTTAAAAACTTCATTTTGTATTTACTCTGGTTATATCTATCTAATATTGAAATTTGTTTTATAATCTTAACTTTTTAAGTGTGACAAATATGCAGGAAAAAAAGAGAAAAAAAAGAAAAGAAACAAAGAATGTAAAGAAACATACTTTTTTAGGGCACTGTATGTCTTTGTAGGTTCTTAGTCATCCAGCTCCTGGTAGCCTTAACTGCTTGAAATGAAGGCACCTGGATTTCTTTTTGATTTATGAAGATGTTTCATTTCTAGTATGAGAGTCCCAGATGGGATAGTCCTGTTGGAGGTGGTTCTGAGTCACTCACACACCCTGTCATCATGTAATTAGTTAAAAGTCATATGAGCCACGATTCTGAATCATGGCAAGTGTCATGAAAGTGCCAAGACTCCTTTGTGAGATATTACCCCACCTTGCCATCATGTGCGTCAATGAGGTCAAAGTGTATGACTATCAGGATCCCCTCCACTGCAAGGTTGCATACTGCAAAATAAGTCCAGATGCATATCCCCTGATGCATTGAGCATTTCTGCTTTACTCAACTCTTTTATCTGTCTACCCTGTGTACCCCCAACCAGTCACAGCAGATGGCTGCCCCCTGGTTCAGCTGGTAGTTTCTTCCTGTTAAAAAGGAGTGTTCCCTTCCCAATGTCACCAGCTGCTAGCTCATAGGGGGTCATCTGATTGATCATCATCAGATTTTATTGTTTTTTTTTTTTTGCTGTGTTATTGTAGAGTCTTTACCTTACAATATAAGGCAGGTTGAGGCAACTGTTGTTGTGATTTGGTGCCGTATAAATAAAACTCAATAGAACTGAAATGAATATCTTGGGATTGGAAGGTCTGTTATTTTATTTGCGTTTTAAGCAATTATTTGGCGCAGACTGTAAAAATGTTGATGTTTATGTAGCACATTAATGACTCAAAAGAGAAATGAATTTAAATGACAATTTAAAGTGAGCAGCATAACCACTTTACATATACAAGGTGAAAAGGGTGCTTGAAGTAACTCTGTCTGATGTAACATAAAACAGCACTGCCTCTGTTACATTTCCTGCAGTACCACAGCAGGTTGTTTATACGACCACTTCCCATGCGTGCTGCGTACCGCCCATCTTAAGAATTCCTTTGCATAAGACTGAGGCACTGCTGTCGTCCACAAAAGACCTGATTACAACATCAGCATCCAGATAGTTGTTTCTAAAAACATAACAAACAGACACTGCCGATTTGAGCCCACGGTGTCTAATCAATGTGTTTCTGTTATGACAACATGAGTGTGATTGTGTAACGTGTTAGATATGATTTTTTTTTAAAAAGGAACATACAATTCTTACTTGACATGTTATCGGGGGTAAGCAGAGGTATGTCCGCCAGGATAGGAGAATAAAGGTTGTTTTCATGCTTAACTAGCAGCTAAATATGTTTCTAAGCTGCACCTCCCAGAATCATTGACCAGTCAACTCAAGACACAAATGTAAATATTAACTCTTCAGAAGAGTAATGACAAAATTAGAGCATTTGTCTGAAAGTTGAAGGCACGGCAAACATATAAACCGCAGAATATACAATATACAGGTGGGTCCATAAGTCATTTTTTCCTCGGTACACCAGCACAAAGGATTAAAAAAAAAAAGAAGAAATTTAAGATTAAAGACTATGCATACTGTAATCTGCTAAAGTATTGTGTTAACTGTTTGTACTACAGCAATTCTTATGCACTCTCCCCCAGAGGCTAAATTGGCAGAAAACAATTTAATGGCCCGATGAGGATCTGTCTGGTCCCTCGTTATTCCATGATATATAGTAAATGTATTTTAGTAGTAAGCGCAGACGTCTTTTTTTCCTCCTATGGTAGCTTCAGTCTGCTGATTTGTTTTGACTTTGTTTTGAATTTCCTCTCTTGAGGGTAAAACTCGATAACTCAGAGACATCACAACCCAGCCTGAAGTTAAGCGGACTGACTCCATAATCCACAATCAGATCAGATTGCTAATTGGAAGGTCAGGCTCCTCCAGCATGTATGTCAAAGTATCCTTGGGCAAGATATTAAATCCCAAGTTGCCCCAGATGCATCCATTGAAGTATGTGTGTGCGAATGTTAGGCAAAGTTCTTAGACATAGAAAGCAGCACACGTACAAATGTTTGTGTGTATGGCTGAATAACACTCGTAGTAAGAAGATGCTCTGAGTGCTCACACAGAGTAGAAAAGTGCTATACGTAAAGTCAATTTAAGCATATAAAATGAGTTTCATTGTTTACACTTTCAACACATCTCTGACAGCAGCTGTGTTAAAATGGACTGACTGCAGGATTTGAGCAAAGGGTGAAATCTGCTCTCAGGGATATCAGGCTCAGAGTTATCCCTCTATAAACACCTTAAATTTAGCTCGTCTCCCCCAAAACTACACTCACTGGCCACTGTATTAGGTACACATATCTAGTGCAGTGTTGGAGCCCCTTTCCCCTTCAGAACTACATCGATTCGTCCTGGCATAGATTCAGCAAAGTGCTGGAAACCTTTTCCTTTTCCTGTTCTTAGCTGACAGGAGTGACACCTGCTGCAGTCTTCTGCTGTTCTAGTCCATCTGCTTCTAGGTTCATGCTGTGCGCTCAGAGATGCTCTTCTGCATACCTTGGTCATGAATAGTTTTTCAGTTACTGTTGCCTTCCTACCAGTTCGAAGCGGTCTTGCGGCATTAACAAGACATTTCTCCATAGAAAACTGCTGGTCAGAGCAGGTCTGGCACCAACAACCATGCTCAAAGTCACTTAAATCAGATTTCTTCATCATTCTGATGTTCAGTTTGAATTTAAGCAGATCTTCTTGATCAGCTCTACATGCACGGAGTTACTGCAGTCCGATTGGCTGATTCGAAAACGTGTACCTAATGAACCTGCAAGTCAGTGCATACCTGTCGTAGAAACACAAGCAGGGTAGAATAAAGTAATAGAAACATACAGGTGGTAGTCGAACTAGAGCCCTTGAATAAGTCAGAGTCGTGTCAGGGTTCAGAATTCGTCACGTGATAGGCGGTGACGGTACTTACCGGTGGATTTAAATTAGGAGACAGTCCGGAAACTTTTGACAATTATGAATCTATAAATGCGTTGAGTTACAATGTTTACATACAAATGGAAAAAATGAAAAAAAGATAA